GCCACAAATCAATTGTAATTCTTCTGTTTAGCGCTAAAAACTCAAACTGCAGTGATTATAAAACACATTAGCATTCCTCAGTTAGCAGCCAAACATTTTTTCAATAATTCACAAGAATGACTTACACAAAGTCTGTTAGAGCGTTGTCAAGAAGGTCTCTGAAGGACCAACAAAATCAGGCGCCACTGTGTACTGATGTCAAAGCTGGCTAGGAAGCCTGATTAACCTCTGAGATGCCTCAGCTGCAGTACTCCATCAATGCTAATGGAGATGCTCCCACTTAAACAGAGCTATCCCTTTGTCAAAGGAATTCGCCCTTCAGGTTTAAAGTCTGGTTGTATATCCTCCCCATTTGCCCTTGAGCCTATTATTTCATGCTTTTATATCAATGAATAGGAATAAAACTAAAAGAACTGGAGCACACAGAAAGTGGGAAGAAGTGTACCAAAGAGACCACAAGATAAAAGGAAAAGTCAATATAAGAGAACTAGGAAAAAAAACTCCAGAAAGGGGGAAAACAGAGTAGTATATTTCACCGTCAAAGGCTCACATCACATGAAGAGTTATTGATAATTCTCACACACATACACCAAGAAAACTTACAACTACCATTTTATTAGTGGACAAAAATCTAAACCCAAAACTTAACAGTCATCAAATCTGCACTTTGTATAGTAAGTGACAAGATAGCACTACCTATCATAGCTCATTAACTTTCAAAATAAGGTATAATGCAGGGGGTGAAAGGGATCCTGGAAGTTTCCTGCATCAGCAAAGACCTTTGCTTCTAGAAGAAATTTGTTTCCATGTTAGAATCAAACACACTGATAAGAACTAGTGTCCAGAAGAAATATATAATGTTATTCAATAGTGTTCACATACCATATTTAGATACCTAAATCACCTCAGAGTAATTAGTCTTTTGATTAGATTTTAGCCAAAAGAGCCTGTACATACCTGAGGAGTCCCTCGACATACCAAAAAGGATGAAGACCCAGTAAAAATTAGAAATTAAAAAAATCTAATTTGGCCAAAGGGAGAATATTAAATTAGACTGAGTGTCTTCACAGTCTGAGGTAGCTAAAAAGTTTATTATCCTGACAAATCTTAACAAGAGTTATTCACAGAACTAAATTTTATCTTGTAGGAGAGCTGAATGTAAGGCTACACCAACTACGTCAGATAGTCCACCCTGACCAAAAATTCAAATGAGCATGGTACTTATTCTGTTCTGTGCAGACAGATTTGCCAAAGGGTCACTAGTCATCTTTAACCTTTCTCATGTCATATCAGTTGTCTTCCCTGTCCATTAGCGCTAATGGTGCTGCTCTCACAAAAGCTGTTAGTTGTCATTAAGAAGTTATCAGATAACCAGGGAAAAAAGGAGGCATTTTTATTAAATCAATTTACCACACTGGCGTTAGAACACATTAAAAGGAATAATCAAATAGGACAGATATATGGTAATTAGGAAATACGGACCAAGATTTTATAAATGTATCAAAATAATGCAATTTGAATTATTTCAGTTTTAAACTTTTCCCCTTAGCACTGCCACAGAGAATTCATCACCATTATATTCTAAAGAAAGCCACATAAATTATTTGGAAAAGCAAAGGGAAAAATCTAAAAATATAAAGATTAATTTTAAGTGCTATCTGAAAATCCAGAGACTATAAAAAAGATTATTTCCTCTAAGGAGACTCAAGTACATACACAATTAATATATTTGTACTTAAAACTATATGGTGAGACAAAAAATAAGAATAAAAATTTAATAATTAATCCTTCTATATAACAAAGCAGTTAATCTCTATGGAGTCATATAAGCAGGTGTCATCAGTGAGAGAAAAATATTAATGATTACTCTTTGAGAAAAAGTGATTTAACAAGCAAAGTGAATATTTTAAGATTAGTATTTTTTTTTTTTTAAAGATTTTATGTATTTATTTGACAGAGAGAGACACAGCAAGAGAGGGAATACAAGCAGGGGGAATGGGAGAGGGAGAAGCAGGCCTCCCGCGGAGCAGGGAGCCCAATGTGGGGCTCGATCCCAGGACCCTGGGGCCACGACCTGAGCCGAAGGCAGACGCCCAATGACTGAGCCACCCAGGCGCCCCTAAAATTAGTATTTTCTTAAGGAGGACATACTACATGGCTTTTTAAACATTTTCATGTTATATCTCAAAAAAATGTATTATCTAGAAATGATAAAAATGGTAAGAAATATCAAGAAATTTTATTTTCTATTTTCAATAATGGCAGGCTAGGTAAATCAGGTCAACCCTACCAAAGAAAACAAGCAGGGTAACTGGGGAGAATTTTTTTTTCAACTCTGCTTAAAGGTACTAAATATTTAACAAGATAGTAAAGAGTTACTAGATCCAAATCCAAAAGAACAAGAAAATCCAGACATGTGAGCAGGATAGTTAGGCCTAGATGCATCTCATGATTCTAGAGGAGGCTTCTAAGAGACTGAGTGGTGCTTTTGATGGACTTGTGGTACTAGGTGGTCATGTCCAAGGAAGTCTACCTGGTGACTTTCAAACCTCCATGTTTTGTTTGTTTGTTTGTTTTGTTTTAAATATTTATTTATTTTATTTTTTTCTTTAAAGATTTTATTTATTTATTTATTTATTAGAAAG